CTGTCTGCCTGCCTGCCTGTCTGTCTGTTTCTCTGCCTCTGCCTGCCTGTCTCTCTGCCTCTGTCTGTCCCTCTGCCTGCCTGTCTCTCTGCCTGCCTGCCTGCCTGCCTGTCTGTCTCTCTTCCTCTGTGTGTCCCTCTGCCTGCCTGCCTGTCTCTCTGCCTCTGCCTGCCTGCCTGTCTCTCTGCCTCTGCCTGTCTGTCTCTCTGCCTGCCTGTCTGTCTGTCTCTCTGCCTGCCTGCCTGTCTGTCTGTCTCTCTGCCTGCCTGCCTGCCTGTCTGTCTCTCTGCCTGCCTGCCTGTCTGTCTCTCTCTGCCTGCCTGCCTGTCTGTCTGTCTCTCTGCCTCTGCCTGCCTGTCTCTCTGCCTCTGTCTGTCCCTCTGCCTGCCTGTCTCTCTGCCTCTGTCTGTCCCTCTGCCTGCCTGTCTCTGTCCTGCCTGTCTCTGTCTCTCTGCCTGCCAGCCAGTCTGTCTGCCTCTCTGCCTGCCTGCCTGTCTGTCTGCCTCTCTGCCTGCCTGCCTGTCTGTCTCTCTTCCTCTGTGTGTCCCTCTGCCTGCCTGCCTGTCTCTCTGCCTCTGCCTGCCTGCCTGTCTGCCTGCCTGTCTGTCTCTCTGCCTGCCTGTCAGTCTGTGTCAGTCAGTCATCATTACTTAACAAAATAAAAATGGAGCCCGCCAGAGAGGTATCTGTGCAGTTCAGTTACCTCTCACCAAATCCCCACCCCCCCAGCTCCTGAACGCCATCCAGCTGTTTGGTGCTAATCTGGACGACTACCTCCACCTGCTGCTGCCGCCCATCGTGAAGCTGTTTGATGCCACAGACGTGCCCCTGCAGGCGCGCCGGTCAGTACTGGGGGCCGCCCATGTATCGGGGGGGCTGAGACTTGTGGCAGTTGTTATGAGTGTGTATGTGGTGCTTGTGATTGCCTAAATCCCCCGTACACCACTTCTGTTTGCCCTTTTCTTTCCAGTTCCAGATGCACCAGCACCTCTGGTATGAAGAGTAAATCATTCTGGACAAGGGTTATTTTTAGGAAAACTTCATGACTGAGGTCATTGTGCTGAGTGCTCTGCAATTATGTGCACACTGAACCGGAAATGTTTCCGATTGTGCAAGGTGGTTACTTCAGTTTTTGTACGAGTTTAGCTAATATTTTTCTAAAGGTATTGTATTGAAATGGAAGGAGGATGTCCGACCGCGACTGTGCTGAAGGGTCGGGCCACATCAGACTCAACTGAGCCCTTTTGGAGTATTTTTTTTTAGGATGAATTTGTTTACCGTTGTTTGCCACGTGAGCGGAGTCCTGTGTGTTTGGGGATAACAGTGCTTTAGGACCAGCCTATGAAAGGCCAGGTGCGGACACACACACACACACACACACACACTTTCCACTCATTTCAATGGGAAAAATGCTAACGCTAACTATGACAACCTTAACCCCTACCCTGCCCTAACCATAACCATAAGTAACCTAACAAAATACAAGAGTTTTTGCATTTTTAGTTTTTTCATAGCAGTCACCGATTTTTATAAAATAGTTTTCCCTTATGAGGACCAGGAAACCGGTCCCCATACACACACACACACACACACACCGTACATCATGTGCACAACATTCAGAGGCGGCCTCGCCCCCAAGTCGCCCCTCACACTGGGGGCTCTGCCAAGGACATACCTCTCACCTGTCTGTTTTTTCGTTCCCTGGCACTGCAGAACGACTCGCAGCGGCAGCCATTTCATGCTTAGTTTAGACAAGTGCTCATTTTTCAGCTGTGATGCATGCGTGTTGGGGGGGCAACAGCACCTGGGCTCCCATGAGTGTGAGTCCCTCCCCCTCAACGGGGGGTCCTTTCCCATCACCCAGGGCACCCCAAGGCCTTCCTGCATCTCGCACCTTCGCATAACCCTGTGCGCTTCCTCCACCAGGAGGTCATGTGACCTGCTGACTGCATCCCACCCAAGTCTGAATGCCTGAGAATTTTAAGCATGTGGGGAATGTATTAAGTTTAACGTTTTGCAGTGATCCTGAAATCTTGCTATCTGCGATGGGTTTAAAACTTGTTTAGTGTCTTTTGGAGAAAGCAGAGTCTCAGGTTGACAATATAACTTTTATTAAAAGCTTCTCAGTACAAAGTGATCTTCCAGTGTTTGGAGGGAGGTGTCTCTGCTCACTGTGTCCGTCACTGTGCCCCCTGTGTCTGTGCCTCATTGCCGTCCTCAAATGGCAGGGTTGCCTTGGAGACCTTGGACCGGCTGACGGAGTCTTTGGACTTCACGGACTACGCCTCCAGGATCATCCACCCCATCGTGCGCACGCTGGACAGCACGCCGGAGCTGCGCATCACTTCCATGGATACCCTGTCTTCCCTGGTCTTTCAGCTTGGCAAGAAGGTGCCCGTCCTCTTTGTTCATATCTCAGTCAGCTGGTACTTCCTTGGCAACCTAAATAGGTGAATACAAAGCAGCCTTCAGTCATGATTTGCAGTCATTTGGTAACAAGTTCCTTATACACTACACCCCCTGCTGGGTGGACTTGGTGTAGCGGTTGTCACACGGTGGTGAATCATGGCCCCAGTGCCGGTGGCGCTCTGAGACTAATCCCAGTGGCTTTGTTAGGCTATCCAGAGGTGGGTGGTCTGGACTGGAATCCCGGTCAGCTTTTCTCATGGTTCTTGATTGTTCTGTTTCAAAGAGTAAGCGCTGTTTAGGGAGAAGCAGTGACGCCATGCTAGTCAGCCAAGCTAAGCCAGAGCTTGTTAGCTCCGTTTATCACGCAAGTGTTGGCTGGTTTTATCCACTGTGATGTTTACTGTTCCATGCTGATACGGATGGAGATCTTACTGAGTCCACTTTGCTTGACAGGAGCAGCTGGCATTTTAGACAGACGTGCTGGCAGATGTCCGGTTCTTTAATCACCAGACTCACTGCTGCCCAGAACCCTGTGCTGATCTTTAGCTCTGTTGTCACGTAGTTTCGGGGTCTCTGGTACTGAGCCCTGGCCAGTGCACAGAACCTGGGCATCAGCATACAGCAGCTCTGGTCCCTGCTAATGGACGACAGAAAGTGGAGGAAAGACTGAAAGGCTGGATTAAGCATTGGGCCTGTAAGCTGGCACCCCCCCCCCCACAATGTGCAACATGTGTTAGTAGATACGGTATGAAATGGGCACTGTGCCCCCCCCCCCCCACTCCATCTCCCTCCAGTAGCCCAGTTATGAGGCTGGAAACGCTCATCAGAACAGCTTTGTGGTGATGTCATCGCAGCAGGACCCATGGCCCGTGAGAAAGCATGGGGGGGGGCAGGCAGCGCGTATAATGAGGGCTGAGGTTGTCCAGGCCGCTGGTTCCCATTATGCAGACATGGCGGCTGCTGCCTCCGTTCTGTGAGCGGCTGCCCTGAGGCCGTCCTGCCTCCACATGTCTCCCGGACTCATAAAATCCCTTTGTGGGACCTTGCCGCTCCCAGTAAAACGACCTTAATGCTCTGTTTGTGCAGCTCTGTGCAGAAGGGCAGCTCAAAAGCAAACCTTGGCTCTGCGCTTGTCTTTCAGTACCAGATCTTCATCCCCATGGTGAACAAAGTCATGCTGAAACACAGGATCAACCACCAGCGCTACGACGTCCTCATCTGCCGCATCGTCAAGGTCAGCTCCTGCCTTGCCCCCCCAGGCCCGACCCAGGAAGCCTGTCTTTTGGAAGTCGCTGGCAAACTTCAAAGTTCTGCTCTCTAGGTGGAAGCTGGCCTGCCGTGTGCAGGTGTGAGGTTTACCCGCAGGCCATCGCCGCCGGCTCTCTGTCCGTCACGATCCCCAGGACACATTCCTCAGTTATGACCTCACTCTTTCCGCTCCTGCTCGCAGCTCCCATTTCAGCTGCCCGAGCTGCAACCCGATGCCCCTGCGCAGTGCACCTTCGCGTTCCCTGCTAGCAGTGCCAGTGCTCTCCAGTCTCCCAGACACACTCTGTCCGCCTGACCCCCGCTTCTCTGCCTGATTCAGGGTTACACGCTGGCAGAGGAGGAGGAAGACCCCCTGATCTTCCGGCAGCTGCGGAGTAGCCAGGGTGACACACTGGGCACCGGCCCTGTGGAACCAGGGCCCATGAAGAAGCTGCACGTCAGCACCTCGGCCCTGCAGAAGGTCCTCCCTGCACACCGCGCATCGCACACCGCGCATCGCACACCGCGCATCGCACACCGCGCATCGCACACCGCGCATCGCACACCGCATACGCACACCGCGCATACGCACATGCAGGCCTGCATCGGCCTATGAAGACGTATTGCATAGCACTATATATGGCCTCTGTACATAGTCCTGCGTGTACCAAGTGCAGTTGGCGCTTCCACTGATTCAGCCAACGGCGGATCAGAAAAACCAATTCTATGAAGGTCCAAAAGGCAAACCTTGAATTTTTCATGCACCGAGCTCCACGCCGAATCCCCGCGAATGAGGCGATGTACAGGCGTAGCCTCTGAACATGTACATACTTTTTTTTCTTTTCTTGTCATTACTTAACATTCACATTGTATTCGGTATTAATCTAGAGATGATTTGAAGTGTACAGGAGGATGTGCGTAGGTTATGCAGATACTATGCCACTTCACACATGGGACCAGGGGTTCTGGTCCTGGTCTGCGGAAACAGAGGGGCGGCCTTATTCATACATATTGGTTCATTAGAAGGGCTGCAGTCCAGTAGAAACCCGGTATCAGGTCCAAACATTTAAATATCAGAGGTGTTTATTGCACCTCAATCTTTATTTTCTGGTGGCGCCTGAAAGGTGCTGTGATATAATATGGCAGAGCCCCCCCCCTGCCAACCCCCCATGCCCCGACACCCAAGGGTGGCTGAGCTGGCATGCCATGTGGTCAGGGCGATCTTTCTGTCGGGAGTCCAGGTCTCTGGCTTAGACAGGGACTCAGGATTCAGTGCAGCTGGGCTGACTAGTCTCTGCATGGATGCTGTAACTAGGCCATCCACTGAGTGCGATTCTATGGGTTTGCATGACATTATGCTCAAGGAAGTCTGCACCTCTCTGGAAAATTATTTACCTGCTTAGCAGTCTAATGAGAAACCTAACATTTTATGACCTCCTTCCTCCTTTTATGGCCTGCGCCTACGGTGTCCAGCTCTGAACCTGATCTCATGGCTGCTGGGGACTCGATTTTTCCTTCCCAGCTCGGCTCCGCTTTACGTTTTAGCAGGAGCATCGTTCCATTTTCCCAGGCCTCTGTTCTCCTTTCTCGGGCTTCCTGCTTTCGGGGAGAGGTCTTACTCCTCACTTCAGCCGGAGTCTGATGCTGGCTCCGCTCTCAGAGGCATTCGCATAAAATCTGAGCGTGCCGCTGTTTAGAAAACCAAAGGAAACCCATCAATAAGGCAGGCAGTCCTGCCAGGCTGCTGTAGCTCTTAGTATTAATTCTTGACCTGCACTTCCCATTAAGGTGTGTGTTAGATGTATAATTTTCTTGTTGTGGTCAATAATACAGTGGAACATTGTTGCCTTTTTAAGTGATGATAATGTATATAATTAGCATGACTGACCTCAGGATTCCCAGCACGATAGTAAATAGTTTGCTGCGTTTTGTTCGTCTGGTTGGTTATGAGGTCGCCCTCATTCTTGGCTGTCTGTCTCCCCTCCCCTCTTCCCTGCTGTCCTCTTTGGGGCGGGGGCGGTCGTCATGGCGCTGGCAGGCCTGGGGCGCAGCCCGGAAGGTATCCAAGGACGACTGGCTGGAGTGGCTGCGGCGGCTGAGCGTGGTGCTGCTGAAGGAGTCGTCCTCCCCAGCCCTGCGCTCCTGTTGGTCCCTGGCGCAGACCTATATCCCGCTGGCCAGGTGCTCCTCCCTCGGGGCCCCCCCACTCCCAAGCAGTGTGGCCCAATAGCCAGCAGGCAGCACACATGATGGTCACATCTCCTGAACCCCCTTCCTCCTCCTCCCAGGGACTTGTTCAATGCCGCCTTCCTGTCCTGCTGGTCGGAGCTGAGCGAGGACCAGCAGGATGAGCTGATCCGCAGCATCGAGCTGGCTCTCACCTCGCAGGACATCGCCGAGGTCACGCAGACCCTGCTCAACCTGGCCGAGTTTATGGAGCACAGTGACAAGGTGTGGCCACTCTTACACGTACACACGTTCACACTTGCTGCACCCGGGCTCCGTTTCTCACGCCTCTGTATCTTTTCCCCGAATCCTCACACTCTGCCCTGTCAGTCGCTTTCTGCGGAGACGTAATGGAACATGGAGCGGCAATGATGTCACTTCCCAGCCATTATTTACAGTTTTATTTGTGTCTGTTGAGGCTTCTGGGTCTTTCCTTCCTTCCAGAGTAGTTTGGTTAATGAGACCTAGTGAGAAGGTCACTGCTGTGGGCATAGCAGGGAAGAGGGTGTTTTCCGTTTGAAGGGTGTTAGGCTAAGGTAGGGAGGCCCTTTCCTAGCTACTGGTCCATATGACCCAAAATCACATGCTTGTGGTGATGGTCGCCAGTTAATGAGCAATAATTCAGCCAGACTCTTAAAGTTTATGACCAGCTGGATCGGGCCACCAGAACAGGGCTTTTTAGCACTGCTATGCTGTAATTGTAGGTCACGGGTTCAGCACTCGTTTTCATTTAGCATGGTCTTCTCGTGTTCTCTGTGCTGAGGAGGTGGTTTTCCACCCTGCAGGGTACAGTCCTGTCTCCCGCCATGTATATCGGGTGCTGTGGTGACACCTCCGCTTTTACCCGTCTGTAGGGTCCCCTCCCCCTGAGAGACGACAACGGCATCGTGCTGCTGGGTGAGCGTGCCGCCAAATGCCGCGCCTATGCCAAGGCCTTGCACTACAAGGAGCTGGAGTTCCAGAAGGGCCCCTCGCCCCTCATTCTGGAGTCCCTCATCAGGTAGGGGCCCCATCCCAGCATCCGCTTGGCTTTGCCTGTGCTCCTGTCTCCCGGTACGAGGAGGAAGGCCCTGGTCGTGCTCATATGGTCGGGGAGAAGGTGGTGTGGTGATGTTGGAAGATTGGTGAGAAGACTGGTATGTCAGGGTGCAGACTGCCCATCTGAAGTTTGTTTGTGGGCCTAAAGGGTTTTCCTCTGGGCTTTATGGTCCAAAGGTGGCGCGTCTTGCGTCGGAATGCTCTGTGGTTGCTCGAGTGAGTTAATCTGCTGAGGTCCCCCTTCTCATAGCAGACTCGCTCTTGGTGCTGGGCCTCTGTTTTAACCGGTTTCTCAATGGGTATGGAGAAGGAATGTCACTTGGAGGCTCTGGAAGACAGCCGCTCGACATGTGATAGCTTGCAAGGACGGATCGGGCCGGTGTCACTTCCTGGAATGGGGATGGAGGAGGCTGTAAACAGTGCCCGAAAGCAGACTCTTTGCGTGAGGACGAGTTTAATGGGATATTTAGGCTGCCAGTTTGCTCTGAAGATCGCATAGCCGTGCAGAGCCACGTTTCCTGCTCGCTGACTTCCTGTTCATCACCCTCCAGCGAGTCCTGCAATCCTTCAGCTCCAGTGAGGCTGTTGACGGTCATCAGGATAATAGTGATAAAATTCTGAACTCAGTCATTTAAAAACAGGTTTTATCCTAAGCAGCCTGCCATTTTGAGTCTGGCTAGAGCAGCGGTCTTCCTGCTTGGGCTGTGCCGTGTCATGAACTCTCCTCTCTGTAACTGCTTTGTACATATTTCCCAGAATGGACCGTAATACTCAGTGATGATGGTAATTCCCTCTGCACGTCAGTGTCTTCCAGCACCGTAAATGAAATGAAGTGGACATATTTGCTATTTCTGAGTACGTACGGCACCGGCTGATGCCAGCCCAGCGGTGACCCATCTGCTGCTTCTGCTAGATTCTCAAGCTGACGTGTTGACTGTCACTCAGGGTGTTAGACAAACACTTAACGTCATGGAGAAGTTTTCCCTTACTGTGGTGTGATTGCCGGCGGCAGTGCTGACATGATATATCGTGCCGCCCCATTAAACGAATTGAATTTCAGTGGCATCTGTTAGTAAAGTATGTGTGAGCGTTTATCAGAGCACGTTCTGATGGACACCCGAGCTTTGATGCTTATGATTCTCACTGCTTAGAATTTGATAACCAACTGTTGCCGCACATCCTGAATTGGGCGTAGCCTGTGAGGTGGCTGACTTTGTGTGTGGGCACAGAGCCCTTCCCTCCACCCTCACCCACCTGCCCTCTCGGCTCGCATGGTCGGGCTCTCCTCGCTGTGGCTGGCCCTATTCTCCAGGCCGCTGATTGCAAGCAACCTCAGCTGCTCTATTGCTCTTTGCACCTGGCTACCTTGTCCTGGGGGTCGGGGAGCCTGTCTTCACTTTGCCGTGGGGTTTAACCAGAGCCGGCCTGGGGCGCTGTGACCCCACCCTGCCCCGCTTCTCCAGGACTTCCTACAACAGCCCGCCCTGTACCGGCTGGGACTGGTCTGTCTGACCATGGCGCTAAAAAGCTCGTGGTGAACTTCTGCCTGAACCACCAGTCAGACAGCTGGCCATTTTATTCATTTATTTTTATTTTTTTTTATAAATAGTGTCTTACATTAAAATAAATAGCCCCCTTAAGGAAATATTTATGTCATGGCTGAAAAACGAATGTGTCATACATCCCGTTACTGCAGGATCATTGAAAAATCAAGGGAAATGATTCCGTTTTTGTGGTCTTTGTTCAAAATGAGCTATTTTTGTAATGGTGTCGTGAGTCATCGGTGCACAGCATACACATATTAAGGTGTTATAGGGTCTGTGGTATCCTGCATTAATCAGGGCCCAATTGAAGGGATTAAGTGTCGCTGAGGAACAGCACCTGGAAGGCCCCCTTCAAAGAACAGCCATATAACCCGCATATCCCCCTATGCATCTCTCTAAGGCTGGAGAGGAGCCGGGCATTGACAACATTAACGTCTCGCCTTGGAGCCGCTGCCTGCCATTCAGTCTTACATGGTCAACAGACTCATCGGCAAATGCCTGTCGCTTTTGCACCCGCTGAGCATCATGCTGATACAACTGCATAACGGCACTGAGACCCACTTCTCAGGCTCCTCAAACTTGGTCACACGATGTCTGAATATAAAAAAGCAGCCACTGCATTAGAATACCTGCTGTTTATAAGTCACTTGGGGCTTTAAACCTCTACAGCACCTTCCCCCAAAAAGCAGCCAACATTGCATTCTCTGGTTTCCCAAGCTCGCTGCAGAGCATGGCCGCTTGGCGCAGTGTTTCTGCTTCCTCGTTACCGTTAGTGTTTCCTTCCCCCTCGTTATAGAACAGTCTTCGTCACACTGAGCCCTGCAGCTCCATCTTGTGCTGGATATGGATTTAATTGTGCTGTACATGTGGCATCAGACAGAAACCCAGCTGATTGCTGGCTCACACAAATTCAGAAATGTGTGTCTCCATCCATTTTCACCTGTGTACGGTCCGGAGCCTATCCCGGTACAGGCAGAGAGTAACCAAGGGTGGGGCACCGATCCCTCGCAGGGCTCACACACCATTCACACCACAGCAAATTTGGCAACTTGGCATGTTTTTGGATTCTGGGGGGGGGGAGACCAGAGGGCCCACAGGAAATCCCACAGCGGCATGGCGAGAACTCGTGTAGCACCGGGGCAGGAACTCGAACCCTGGCCCGTGAGGTGCCAGCACTATGCCCCCCCAAAATGCACCTAACATAAGGAAAACCTAACATAGGCTTATCGGTGAGTGCCAAATTAAAAGTGAGATTAGAGATTGATTAGTTTAAAGACATTAGAGAACTGGAGCGGCGTGAGCTTATGGGGCGTCGCGCTGTCCAGCCTGTATGGTTCATCCACACCAGCCATGAATTATGCCAGATTAAAACTGTACAGTTGACCATCTTGTTTCATTACAGCTGCTTGGGTCATTAGACCTGGTTATGGAACTTTTTCAGACCACAGAAATTAGAAAATGCTCATCGATCAGTTGTAGGTACTGTGATATATTTGAGTATATCAGTAGCGCTTGGGAGTAAACATCAATAGTGTTTGAGAGTCTTTGTGGACAATTACCTGGTAGGTATCAGTGGGTCCATCAAACTTCATCCCTTTCCTTCCACTCCTTAGCTGCCACATGGAGCTGGGTTCAAGCTGATGGTTAACTGACATTAAAGCCACTAAAAATCCAGGAAAGCGTGTGGATGGGCCGCATCCCAGAGCAGACAGGCCGCCTGCAGCCGTTTCTCACACGGGATGTCATATGAGAGGGCATTCGGGCTGCACAGCTCTTCCTGTATTGCAGAGGGAGCTGTATTATGACAATAATCCCCACAGAATTCTTTAATCGTGTGTTTCACAATCCGCTCCTCCAGGACCCACAAACGGTCCATGATTTTGCTTCCCCCCCCCCCAGGAGCTGGGAGGGAGCAAAAACATGGACCATCCGTAGGTCCCTGGGGAGCGGATTGGAAAACGCTGTTTTAGCGAAACAGGAGTACGGAGATGGCCATGTTAGTGGGGCCGTACTCCAGGTTTACACATCTGTATGGAGATGGCCATGTTGGTGGGGCCGTGCTCCAGGGTTACACATCTGTATGGAGACGGCCATGTTGGTGGGGCCGTGCTCCAGGGTTACACATCTGTACGGAGACGGCCATGTTGGTGGGGCTGTGCTCCAGGGTTACACATCTGTGTCTGTCTGCTTCACTTACCTTCTCTAATGTGGGCTGGAGACCCCTGACTACACCCCCAGCACTGAAAGATGGTGTAGCTTTAAGGCAACATTTTTATTCCTGTCAAGGGTGCAGAACGCAGGTTGCGGGACGTAGGATCGTAGCTGGTTTGTGATGTCTAGGATGGGTCTGTGGCAAGTGATGGGCTCGCTTTGGAAGCGATTAGACACGACTCTAAAAGACACCCAGGCTAATTTAGTCTACAGTAAAAGGGATTAGGAGGGAGGCGGGCTGCAGTGAGCTCATCAGGGGGGCCGCTGGGCGTCTTTTTAAACAGACTAATTAAAGGGCCTAATTCTTTAAAAGCTAATATAAAATCCACAGTGATGGCTTCATTTATGTAGCCTTCCAGCGCTAACCGAAAGCTCCATGCCACCTCAGGGTGCCGCCTGCTGGCCCAGCAGGGTGATTCTGGGTCCCGAGCCACCTGTGTAGCTCCCTTGGGTGTTTTTAGGCCTTATCATTCAGACAGAATTCCAGCTGTTTTGTTTGTGTTGCTCGTGTGAGGAGTAAGCAGGTATCGGGGTGAAGCGGCTGAACCACGCCGCTCCGGAGCGTCACGCCGCAGGCCCAGCTCTTAGGCACTGAGAGACCGGCCACCCGTGACGCCTCATGGTTCACATTTGTGCCTTTCTTTTGAGCTCTGCCTCTCTGCTCAGCTTTCCAGGCATTTGGGCCCCGTTTCAGAACCGTCTGTCTGAAACGTAATATCATGCTGTAAAACGGCTCCTTCAGATGCGGCTGACGGGCTTGATCTCAGCGGGCTTGGCACATGGTGTTTCTGCCAGACCTGACCCGGAACGGCCCGTTAAGACGTTGGGGAACAGCCCTTTATGGCCTGTTGGTTAGTTGCTGCTTTGAAGCTCGTTTTAAAGTGACCACAGCAGCTCTTGCATCCTGGCTGTAATTAGCACGGTCGCTTGGGCATCACACGGTAAATCCGGACTGAATCTCTAATCGGCTGCCCTTTTTAGCTGGGTGCCATGGGAGACACGCTGGTGGCTGCCCAGCGGGGCCACGATGAAGTCACGTTAGGACAGGCCCGCTACGTCGGCCCGGCCTGTCCTCGCCACCGACGACATTCCCCTCTTTTCTCACCCTGAAAGCCCTTTGCACGTCTCTGGTTCTCTGCCCTTGTATGGGATCTGGTTCATGGGCTGAGCTCAGCTCAGAGTCTGTTCTTTCCTTCGCACGGGGTGTGAATGAGCCAAAATGAGTGAATTAGTGCTCGTTTCATGTTCTCCCCTCATGGCGCAGGAACAAGCCCACTTTAATGTTTAATTAATGTTGGATGCTTGTTATTTGGTGGATGTTTTTGCATTTTTGTTGGGTCCAGCTGTGATTCAATTGAATGCCCTTCAGGTGTATCTGAAACGTCCCACGGACCGCCGACAAAAGAGGGGCGTGTCCCCACCACAGCCCTGAGCTTGGGGACGCTCTCTGGGCCCCCCTGTTTCCGGGCCCCCCTGGCTGACGGTACCGCCCTCTGTCGTGTGAAGCGGGGGGGTTGCCGTTCACACAGTGCTGCATAGAGACAGCTGGGTCAAGGGTCAGGCGTGAGGCCCTGCTCTTTATTTGCTAGAACTGGGGGTGGGGGGCAGTGAGTGTTGCCGAAGCTTTTGTTCCAATCTGGTTCCTAAACTCACTGAAATGCTTGCTGCTCTGTTAGGATTCAGACCAGACCTCGATAGCACAGCTTGATGCTTATAAGAAACAGACACGTCGTTAAAAATACAAAAGTTTTTATTCAAACAGAATAATACGTTAAAGCTGTACACATTTTACAAATTACACTTTCATTTAGGAAAAAAATATCCAAACTGCAGTGCACACTGGCTGTTTTCTCTTATGGTCATCATCACTGGCTGTCTGATATGGTTCTAGCTAAATTTGTCAGGATGTTTACATTGGCTGTTTGCTGGCTGAGCTCTGCCCTGTAAATCTGGCTGCGCTCATGCCTGGAATTGATAAATAATGCCAGTTGTCTCAAACTGTGGATTGCCAGTGATGCCGCGTTGAAGTGCCCCGTTTGTAAATCTGGCCCTGCTGTGAGATGTCTCCCCCGCTCCCCCCCCGGCCGAAGGCCACAAACATCTGGGCCTGCTGACATGAAGCACATCTGCATGGTTTTCAGTCCGTGTCATTTGACTGCCGAAGACAAAGTTTTTGCAAAAGATAAATACATAATAAACTACAATTTACAAAACCACATTACAGAAAAATATGAAAACATGGAAATCTACCCTCCTGAAAGAGTTGTGTGTGATTTATTCATTTATTTTCTCCCTTCCTGTCTAGATTTGCTGTAAATTTTGCCAGAGCGTGTTACAGATGTTTCATGGTTTAGTCTATGGCCGGAAGTTCTGGGGCCTGATCTTCATCTCGACCCTCTTCAGTGAGTAGTTGGGTCCATGCCAGCCATACCAGGTGATGCCATCCGTGCCTGTTCTGTGCTCCCCGTAGCGATAGTACACGCCGTTCAGGTTGGAATCCGTGCAGCAGTTGTACCAGTAGCCCCCTGGTAAGGAGAGAACCGATATGTGGTCCTGATGTGGTTCCCATAGCTTCCCATAGGCCGACAATGGTTCTGGTCATTAATGGATGGCTGTTAATCGCCCCGAGGATGCAGAGGTGCATTATCTTAAGGGCGGCAGTGAGGTCATGAGGGGGTGATGACCCAATCCCTCACCATCTTACCTTTGCGCAGCTGGGCACAGTTGTCCACACACTTGTCGTTGTCCTTGTCTTTGGCACTGAAGTTGGTGTTGTTGTGGTACCGCAGAGAGTCCTGTCCAGCGTTGCCGCTGTAGCCGGCGATGTGCAGCCTGTAGCTGTTCAGCTCGTTGCTGAGGGTGAAGTGCTGGTATTGAGCGTACCGGACCTCACCCTCCCAGTCCTGCACACACAGACAGGGTCACTCACTGCTTTTGGTTATTGCAAAGGTGATCCTAGCTGGGATGAAGGGAAGGGAAGGGTTGGCCACCTCCATCTCAATGTGCAGCACGGTGGGCTGGCGGGTCAGCCGGAAGATGTTGTCGTTGCCCAGCCAGAAGTCGCCGCGGATGGCGCCGAAGCCGCGCTTGTACTGCTTCCAGTCGCGGTCGAAGGATGTCAGGCCCACCTTGCGCCTCTGGATAACAGTCCAGCCTCCGCCATTGGTCTCCATGTCGCAGTAAACCTGAAACATGCAGCAGGTCATGGGGGGGGGGGTGGCCACGGCTCACATTAATGGAAAACTTCTTGGTATTGCAAGGATACAGTAATATGATACTGTTTGCAGTTTGTGCGTTTGCTTAAAGTATTTATTAGATATTGGGAATGACAACGGGGTTTGTTTTTAAAATTTTGGGCTTCTGATCATAGCCTCCTTGAGCCCCGAGGAGGCCTGCTCGTGGTACTGATTGGACCGGGTCTTACCTCCAGCTCCGGTGTGCCCATGAATTCGTCAGCCGGCAGCTTGTACTGGCCCGAGATCTTGTAGTTCCTGGTGTACAGCGAGGCACAGTCGTAGATGGCCTCTGGAAGAAGAGTCGCGTGTCAGTCATGGCCATGCCAGGGCTCCTCTGTGGGCAGTGGCAGGTGACATCACAAAGGGGGCGGGGCTTATCTTACAGAGAGAAGGGAGCTCTGAAACAGGCTTAGCACCCCCTCTCAGAAGACAGATGTCACAACAGGCCCCAGGGCGTAACTGTTAAAGCCCCCCTAGTCAGCGTGTTCCGGGGGCCTTAATGCACAGCCTCTCCTGCACCCTGGGGATTATAGGTGCTCAGTGCCTCTGGCTTGGCCTCAAATCTTGGGTGTCATCTGAAAGGCAATCTACTTGATTACCGTTTTGTACAGGGGTGTCAAACTCCAGTCCTGGGAGGCCGGAGCCCTGTGTTGCTTAGTTCACTCCAGTCCTGGGGGGCCGGAGCCCTGTGTAGCTTAGTTCACTGCAGTCCTGGGGGCCGGAGCCCTGTGTTGCTTAGTTCTTTCCCTGTTCCACCACAAATAATTCAGCTGAAGAGCTGTGTGGTAATTAGCACAAGGAGGTGAATCAGGTGTATTAAATGAGGGGAAACCCAAAAATGTGCAGTGTTCCGACCCCCCAGGACTGGAGTTTGACACCCCTGGTCTAGTATATCTCCCAATGATTCTGTCGTGTCTTTTCACTGCAAATCCATCTGTCCCAGAATGCTCCGCTTTCTTTAAGCTTCCTGAATTTTTCGTTTTCAGTCAGTAACGCAAATCTTGTCATGGACTGGATATGTTAAAAGATGTTGGTCAAGTGCTGTGTAAGAGTGTGTTTTTTTTTTTAAGGAGGAATTTTATTCTTTTTCCCCTTTTTTAATTTCCATAATTGAGCTCATCTGTGGAAAACCTTGCCATTGTTTCACAATGCTGCAGTATTACCAGCATGACGTCGTTTAGAAACAGCTTGTGTGTATTTGATTAATTATGAGTTTTTCGAGGTTGCCTTTGGAGTGTCGGATCGTAATTCTTTCTATTGCCGTAGCGATCCCCGGACCTTATGCGGCTGCGGCTGCCACATGGGGGAGTGAGGTGAGGTCATCTGTGCTTGGACCAGCTGTCCTGGGGGGGGGCAGGGCCTTTAGAGCTCCTTGCGGTTTCATCTCGCCTAGACCTTCCCTTGAAGCATGGTTCTGTTTTTATTAGTTTAAAGAAACCACTCACCCCGCCCCCCAGTTCACACAATTCGTTCACGTTATCACGAGTGGTTATTTGCTCTCAGCAAACAGATCAGCCCCCCCCCATGTGGTCTGCACATATGTGTAATTAAAGAAATATCATCCGCTGACTCACTGTGTTTCACTAGAGAATTTCTGCGGCTTTACTGAAGGTGGTAAAATATTACATGCCCTGGTTGACTGTAATTCTCAGCCTGATTTTCAACGAGCCAGGTGCTGTAATACGTCTTTCCTCATGCGATGGGAAAACCCCCGATGGTCTGGCGAATGCCACCATCACCGTCCCCGTCTCCAGACACTCCTCTGTCACTCTGTCACTTCTTGCTGGAATACTGCACCTCGGTGGTGATCTATAGTGACCCAAAGTTGCTTGGCACCAGGGAATCTCACTCCGAACAAAGAGCCTGAAACTGCGGGGTTTAACCCCGAACTCCCGCTCGCTGTGCCAGTGAGCTATAGTAATGCCTAAAAGGTATGAGCTGATTCCTGAGATTTTTTTTTAAGGCATCACTAAATGCTGCTGAGCCCTGCTGCTTAATGCAAGTTGCCTGATGTCAAAGTGAACTTTATTGTCATCTCTCCATATACAAGTATACAGAAAGACGAGATGGCGAATGTGGAGATGACTCCACAGAATATACATATAATTGAATTTTTTTGCACATAGTGTAAGTAGACACAGTAGTCAGGAGATACTGAGGAAAAAAGACACAATGGACAGAACCCTGCCGCTTGGCACACACTGCCTGACGCCATCGCGGTCCTGAGCCCTGCTGCTTAGCGCATGCTGCCTGACGCCATCGCGGTCCTGAGCCCTGCTGCTTAGCGCATGCTGCCTGACGCCATCGCGGTCCTGAGCCCTGCTGCTTAGCGCATGCTGCCTGACGCCATCGCGGTCCTGAGCTGCGCCCAGCGGCCCCCTTACCTGCACTGGTGTGCGTGACGGCCTGTGCTGTCTGCAGCTGCATGATCTCCACGCGGTTGTTGATCTCTGAGTACTTGCCCTCGGCCTCGGTGACGCGAGCCTCCTGATTCTGGCTGCGGCGTTCCAGCTCCAGCATCTGCCGGGTCAGGCCACGCGCCTCCGTCTCCTGCTTCCGCCACAGTTCCTCCAGCAGGCTGCTGACGTTGGCGAGCTGTACCTTCAGTGCCCGCATGTCCTCACAGCAGGCAGCCTTGGATGTGGGGGCCGCCCTCCTGCGTGGATCCCTCTGGGCGCCGGTGCTCTGTCCCAGCAGCACCAGTGTCACGCCCAGGGTCAGCATGTTCAGCACGGCCGTCTGCCGCATCATCGTTTAGGAGCGTGGAGACGTTTTCGGATTCGGGATCGGGTGGCTTTGAATTTTTCTCTGCGGCCGGGTACGAGTCGCAAGCAGTCTCTCTGGTGGGAGCGCGGTGCCTGTCGATGGCGGTGTGCAGGCCGGCTGAGGGTGCGCTGTCTTTAGGGAGTCTTGCTGTGGATGCAGTGGTGCTCTGACCAGTGCTATTCTCAGTCTTCGTTCCCTTTCTGGTGCTGAAACCTGTCCCGGTGGCATCTTAAATATTTTTACACATGTGCCCTCCCCCTCCCAGTTGGGCTCAAACGTGACTGCTCCCCCCTTTTGGCTTCAGGCCCTCCCACCCCCATTTCTCTCCCTCCCCTCATTCACTCACTCCCTCCCTCTCTCCCTCACTCATTCCCTCCCCCCCAGTCTTCCTGTCAGTCAGACTGTTGGCTGTTCTCTCATGCCATCAGGTGTTTTTAAAGATTTCAATGGGGTGAACTTTGGGGGGGGGCAATCTAGCTTTACTCTGGCTGTTTAACCCTTTGAAGTCTTCTGCCTCTAGGAAAGAGGTAGGGTAATGTATTAACACTGTACTTGCTGTCTGTGTTTAACCCGTAAAGGACTGTGAAATCACACTAGTCAGTGTTAAAGCTCTGTTTGCTGTGTGTGCAGGCAGGCTGAGCTTATCAGTGAGTGCTTCAAACCTCAGGACTGTGTGCAGACGTCCTCTTAAAAGCCTTTGATTCCTCTGTGCGCATTCCTCCGGTACAGTAGTCACTGAAGGCGTACGGTCGCACTGATAGGCTTCCTAGCCAGCGAGGAACATTTACTGGAAATGTTCTAGAGAAACAGTCTGAACCGACAGCGGACCCTGCTTTCCAAGGCGGTGATTATGTAATGCCAGAACTAGGCAGATGTTCTATCAGGTGATGAGGAGGTGCACGTGGATGGGGAAGGGGACCGGCCTTCTCTGAACCCCCGTGGGGGGGGTTGGGGGGGCATTGCAGCCCGGGACACCCAGCTTTTTATTGGACCTGGGGGTTTTTTTGTTCCATCCTGCAGTGAAGCTGGACAGCTGACAGGTTACGTCTGAGTGCTGTTGGGGTAGAAGCAGGCAGTAACAGTCATTGCTGCTGTGAGTGTTTACTGTGCTCATGAGTAACCCTCTGTTTTCAGTAGTGAGACTCCCCCCCTTTTTTTGTCTAGGGAGCGCTGCCAGTACAGAGCAGTCTTAATTCCTTATGATTTATCAGTTTTCTAGCTTGCTGACATTAAGTAACTTTGGAACAGGTGTGTTGGGACAGGTTCAGTATTAGGAAGTAAAATACTTTTTTAATGGCAAAGAAATGGAATGACTGGATTATTGTCTTCCTCTCCTTAGCTACAGTCTGTGATGTATTCAGGGAAGTTATTTTAGATTAAATCAGTTCTCCATGCTGATTATACTGGAACACTGAACATTGTTTCTCAAACCAGTGCTTGGGGACCCTCAGATACTCCTAATTGGGAGGGAACAAAAATGTGGAGAACCACTGTAATAGATAAGGGAGTGGTAGACTGTTTGGTCCAGTAGGTGGTGCTATAACTGATATGGGTGTTGAAGTCACCGTGCTTGTAGTACCACTGAGCAAGAGACTTGCTGGAGTGACTGACCCCCCCAGGTGACCCCATAGCGCGGACGCTGGTGTGGACAGAAGCCAGCTGGACCCGCAGTGTCTGCCTCCCGCCCTCGGTGCCCCAGACAGCGCCGGCCATAACGTTATGCAAGCATGAAAGAGCCAGGGCCCGATTGTTTCAGCGTGTCGCTTTCGGGCTTTCCGGCGCTGCTGGAAGGGCCCCGCCCGGCTTTGGCGAGGCCCCGTGTGTGGATGGACCTGGCAGTACTCCTCCACACCGAGAGCACGTGGCGTTCCCAGCCGAGCTGGCCTTTCCGTCCTGATGCAATACGCCTGTTTGCCTCTGTGGCTCAGCCTTACCCCCCCCCCCCCACACACATGTGTTTGTCTGCAGAGGGACTGCATCCCGGGCCGGGGTCTTCACACCCTCTCTGCCCCCATAGCCTGCTTGTCGCTCCAGTCGACGAGATGGTTTTGTCTGGCATCCAGAATCGGGATCACAGCTGCTGCGTGTGTTTAGCAGCGAACTGCTCGGTATGGATTGGCGCTGAGGGGCCGTGGCTCCCGCTCAGGCTGAGAGCCTTAGTGGTGCTGGTTTCCAGTGTCCCAGAGCCACGCAGACACTGGAAGGGCTGCCACTGCCCTCAGGATGTAGTGACTTGTTAGGTAACATCAGCTTCTGTCTGGTCTGGACGTTTTTTGGTTTTCTGAAGAAGGTTTATGTAACTGGTAAAGGAGAACTTTAATCAGCAGTGCGTGTTCTGGGTGTGATTCCCTGCATTCAGAATCATGCGGCTGCTGGACAGATGCTGAGGAAATGAAATTGTTCTCCCTCTGGTTGATCTCGCCCTGTGTCTGAAGGGGGTAACTAGACCGACGTCCACTGTTGGCACAGCTTTGAGTTCCCAAAAGGACCCTGTTGTTGAACCTCTTTGAATAGTTGGTGAAAATGTTCAAACTCACGACAGTTGAATGATAAGGCGCCTCAACCTTTTGCCCTCATCTGATGGCCTGGGGGCAGCCAGATGAGACCCAGTTGGGGCGAGAAGATCATCCCTGGAGAAGCGGTGATAATAAAGGGCCAATATTAGACCAAAGCAGCTATTAAAATATGGGTATGTACTGTAAATATGTACTGTAATGCTCTTTCTGCAAAGAAGACTGTTTGGTATATGTCATTTTGAGTGTATTAATGATGAGAGCAAATTTTAAGTGTACTGATGAGGGCCTGTGCAGGAGCAGCAGCGAAGAACGGAAAATATCTGTGATCCCGCCATTGTGACCTTGGGCCACTGGTTATTCTAATGAATTTTAACAATATTCACGTCCTCAACAGCAAAAATCCACGTTCAAATTTTTAAGATTTAAGTAGGCAACTGTTAGCCGTCTGACAGCCGTCTGATGGCCCTGAACAGAGAATAAGGGATCTGCCTCTTGGGGGCAGACTTCCGTGAATATATGCCGCCAGCTGAAATGGCTGAAACTAGTCGGCAAGAAACTAGCGAAATGTGTGCAGCACAAGAAAAATACAATGAAATAGTGACTCCGAAACCTGGAAATGTGCCGTCCGGAAACTTCGGGGATTTACATGGCTACCGCCTGTAGGCTGGTCTTCCTGTCCTGTAGGTAGCTAAATAAATAAAAAATGTGTTCTTGTATATATTTGTCTCCTCTTCATTTTCATCTCTGAAGACGGTAGCGGACTAACGGTACGGGCTGCACCTGTCACGGTCAGAGGCACAAGCCGCACTTCTGCTTCTGGGGGGCTTGCAGTCAAATTGATATTCAAATTTTTCTGAGCAATAAATCTTTTGAAAGAATCATGATGCCTCTATAAAGGGGTTTTCCAGTCCCACTGCAGGGTGGGTCAGGTCAGGTTCCCAGCCCCCCCTCCGCCTGCACTGTTCTCTGTTATATAACATCACTTTTATGCTGACTGCAGCAACTGTGTTTTGTGACTGTTAAGAACACAGTGTACTACCTTAATATTACAGGAAGTTTTTTTTAAAAAAAACAACCTTTGTAAAATGTTTAAGGCTTTTCCTGTCTTTTTACGAATCATTTTTGTGGATAGTACATTCAGATAAGTAAAATCAGATTATTTTTTCAAGTTTTTTTTTTTTTAACTGATGCACTGGGTGACTGTCATTTGTGACTGGGTGACGCACTGGGTGACGTCCCAGTGACGTGTGAGGGGCCTGATTAAGGCTGTGGTCTTTACAAAAGGCAGCCTTATCCACCTTTTTTCTTTAAATCCAGTTTCTTCGTTGGGCATCCTTAGGTGGGTTTCAGTATCTGACAGAGGAGGGGGTCTGAATTGCCCGGGCCTTGTCCTTGGCTGTCACTGGCTACTGAACCCTTCTGCAAAGTGCCAGTTCCAAAGAGAAGGTTTTTGTTTGTCCAGGGGTTTGGGAAGAGTAATCAAATTGCTGTCTTGGATAAAATTGTTCACTATGCTACTTACTCATGCAGGGATGAAGTATTGGTCATCACGTAAAAGCCAAAACAGACATTGGCACGCCATGAAATCTGCCACGGCTTCTCTGCAATCAGTCATGCTCTGAGTAAGAGTCACACAGTGTGACTTGTCCGTCCACCCCGCGCCCTGAGTGATTCACCATGCGCTGGGCCTCCGTCGGGCCTCCGGCCTGCAGACTTCCGGAGGAGCGGCTCCCTTCCCAGGGGCTGTTAACTCCATGTACCGTGGATGTGCTCCAGGCTCTTACCGTTCAGCAGGCCCCAAAAACAGTAGCCGGAATACAAGGGCGAGGCAGTGAGTTCAGGAGAGCGGGATGGCTGTGTATCACGTCTGTGCCCCTTCTCTCGCTCCAGTCGGGTGGTTCTCTGTCTTGTCTAGGAAATCGCACATTGTTTACTTCCATAGAATTGTGTGTGAAAGGGCAGGGGTATGTATATATTACATTTTGTTGACCAAATGTCCCCACAATGTGATTAAAAATCTATTTGGCATTGTGGGGACAGTGTGTGTGTGTGTGTGTGTGTTTTGTGTGTGTGTGCGCTTGTGCGTGCGTGTAAATAATGATTCTCCTACAAAATAAAGCTGAATTTCCTTCTACTCTTCTTGAGTATTTGCGCCTGGAATTGTGGGTAATGGTTCCAATATGAGGTTTGTAGAGAAGGCTTGTAGCTGAAACGTAGCCAGCCGGGGTGAAGAGGCAGAGGGGGGGCGGGGGGCTTGCGTGTCCGACTTGTTTAAAGATGGAGGTTGGCCAAGCCAGCGTGGGCTTCTCCTGTTACTAACAGGCGCTGTCGTCGCTGGCGTGTATGGGGGGGCCGCCTGCGTTTCCCATCAGCGCGCTTCATCGATTTACAATGAGAGCCAGGCGTGGGGTCTGCCGAGCCCAGTGCACCGCCCCCTAATGGCTGCCTCTGTAAACGCAGGAGCTGTGGGTCCCTGAGTACCGGGTGTGAACTGGCAGTAATGATCCTAGAGTCATCCTAGCGAGGCTGAGGGTCACTCGCATTCCAGTGGGGGAACGGTGACCCTCTGGACCAGTTAAGGCTTTTCCCTGTGTCCTTTGACCCAGAAGTGGCAAGTGCCTTCTACACCCACATTCCGTGGACACTTGCCAGTGTGTGTCTGAAGTATTTCTCAAGTTATACGGGGGGGGGGGGGGCGTCA